GCCAAGGGCCACCAGCGCTGGCACGCCACGGGCCTGCAGCAGCGAGCGTGCGTTGTCCAGGCTGTCGGACACGATCTCGTGGATGGTGTTGAGCACGGCCACCACAGTGTCCTCCTCCAGGCGGGCCCCGGGGCGCGCTGGAGCCTGCGCGTTGCGCACGTTCCGCACCAGCTCGGCCATGGCGTAGCTCCCTGAGGGGCAGGGCAGGGCCGGGTGTTAGGACACACCTCTGCCCACCCGTGGGGAGAAGCGGGGTTCAGGAGAGAGGAGCCCACAGTTCCCAGAGCACAGGGCGCTAGGCTCAGACAGCTTGAAGACTGGAGCTCCAGCGCCTGGGACAGAGTGATGGGACCCAGGCCAGGCCCCTGCAGCAGGGGGCCTTCGGCCCCTACGTTAGGACCCCGAGGACCGTCCACCCGGTTCCCATCCAGTGTCCTCACCGATGAGGTCTTTGTTGCGTCGGTCCAGCGAAAGGTTCCGCAAGGCAATGGCGACAGCGCGCACCACCTTGTCGGTCTCGGACTGCAGCAGCTCCACCAGCACTGGCAGACCGCGCTCCTTGCGCACGGTGGCGCGAATGTAGGTGGCCCACTGTGGCAGCAGAGGAGGCGGAGCACGCTCAGCACACGGAGTAGCAACCCACACAGGATGGACTCTCCCGCCTGAGCCCTGACCACTCCTTCAGCGGGACTGTGCTCCTGACAAAGCCTTACACCAGCAGCTCAATTCTGCCTCCACCAGACGCCTCCACACCCACATCTAGGGTACAGCGCTCCCTCCACCAGACGCCTCCACACCCACCACCCAGGGCACAACTCTCCCTCCACCAGACGCCTCCACACCCCACCACCCAGGGCACACTGCTTGCAGCCCTAGCGCCCAGAACCCCTGACCTTGGGCAGGCTCCTCCCCTCCCCCTGCCTGGCCAAAGGCAGGAGTAGGCACCAACAGAGACACGGGGATTCCCTCTCTGGCCCCTCCCTGCCAGACATGGCCTCTCACCATCCAGTTGCCAGCACTGAGGTTCTGTAGGGCACCAGCTGCGGCCTCCAGGGTGTTGAAGTTCCGGCTCTCCGTGAGGAGTGAGAGGTAGAGACGCACCACCTCGGGCTGGTACAGCAACTCAAAGCCTGGGCACAGAGCACCAGCTGCCTACCGTCGCCCAGACTGCCCACATCACCGCCTCTCCCTCCTCCTCTTCCCAGGGCAAGGCTGAGCTGGGACCCAGGGATGGGTGTGGTACAGTCAGGAAGTGTTTAACAATGTTATGGCTACCCCAGAAAAATAGCAGTCCCACTTCACAGAGGAATCGAGAGGCTCAGGGAGGCCTACCAGTGGAGAGAAGGTGGCAACCAGGGTCTCTCCCCTAGCAACAGGACTCAAACTCCCTAGCAACAAAACCCATCCTCCCAGTAGCTAACAGGGGCTGTGCAGCTGGAGGGTGAGGCCTAGCGACAAGACCCACCTCCCCTAGCAACAGGGCCCAGCTCCCGTATATAACTGAGGCTCCATCACCAGGGTCATGCCCTTAGCAACAGGGCCCAGCTCCCGTATATAACTGAGGCTCCATCACCAGGGTCATGCCCTTAGCAACAGGGCCCAGCTCCCGTATATAACTGAGGCTCCATCACCAGGGTCATGCCCTTAGCAACAGGGCCCAGCTCCCGTATATAACTGAGGCTCCATCACCAGGGTCATGCCCTTAGCAACAGGGCCCAGCTCCCGTATATCACTGAGGCTCCATCACCAGGGTCATGCCCTTAGCAACAGGGCCCAGCTCCCGTATATAACTGAGGCTCCATCACCAGGGTCATGCCCTCCAAGAGGTCCAGGCCTGGCAGCAGCGCTCGCCACCGTGTTTCAGAGACGAGGGGCTGAGCAGTTGCCAAGGCTACTGTACCCACACCGGGGCTTCTGCCTGTTCCTGGACATTACTCCCTGTCCCCTGTCCTCTCACCCCCTCCCTAGTCCTCATGTCCTATGCTCCCTCCACCCCAGCCTAGCTGGGCCTCCAATTCCCCAAACACGTGGCCCCCTGAGGTGTTGGCCCGGGCTGATTCCTCAGCCTGTGGTGTCCCCCCCAGATCTCCTGTGGCTGGTCCCTTCCATTCTGCTTGGGAGCATCTGGGCTTGCCGGGTGGGCTGTGTCCATATTGGATCCGCAAGGCCCTTCAGGCCTCCTTAGTGTCACAAAGCTTCACTACTGGACTGTCCCGAACCTGGACTCTACCCCCACCCACTCACCTTTGGCGGCCTCCGTTCTCTTGGGCAGGTCCAACGTGTCAAAGTTTCGGTCCATCTCACCATCCTTCCTCCCTGGAACAGAAGAACAGTGGGATGTGAGGTGGACCCCATGGGGGGAAGGTGTGTGTCACGAGGGCCAGGCACAGCACTTTTCTGCCTAGAGCCCAGAAAGCGCCCCATGTCCAGGACGAGGCACCAAGAGGCCAGGGGGGCAGTGTTAGCAGCAGGGCCTAGGGATGTCCCAGCCAGGACTCATCTCCCACCAGGGGCTGGGAGCTGCACTGCAGACCTGCCCAGTGGCCTCCTTGTGGCTGCCAGGTGTGTGAACTGAGGGATTCAGTGGCTGGGTGGTGGGTAGGTGCACACAGGGAAGCCGAGGCCTGGCAGGGACAGGACATGCCTGGCTACACAAGGCAGGGCTGGGGCCAATGCCCTGGGGAAACTTGCCCGTCTGGGGCCTAGACCCGGTCCCAGGCTCTCTTGGCCAGGAAAACCCTGCTCACAGGCCAAGCTCCTACAGCAGCTCCACCTAACACCTGTCAGCCTCGACCTGTACACCTCTGGGTCCACTTCCTGGCCATCATCCCCACCTCAGATGAAGGAGTTTCTCCTTTGGAAAGCAGCAGAGCTGGGTTTAAGCAGTCACCAACCTCTCGGACCTCAGGGACCACCAGTGGTCTGCAGACCACCGGTTGGCGACCGCTGGTTTAGATGACCTGGGACCCCCAACATCCCTGGCCTTCTGGGGCCTTTATGTGCTCCTTGTGTGAGCCACACATGCCCCCTTCCACTGGAGAGACACCCCCAGGCCTTGAGGACATCAGCCCTGCCCCGCTCCTAGCTCCAGGCCCAGCCCTGCCTGGAGAGCAAAGTCTGAGGTTACAAAGGGACAGCCCCTTAGCCTCCAAATTAGTGCAGAGCTGACATTCCTGCCGTTGCCATGGAGATGGCTGCCCAGAGAAGGGACTGGGGGTGGGGCAGGACTTTGAGGCTGGAAAGCCCTGCAGTAAAGAAGACCACTGCCTGAGCAGTAAGGGGAGGGGCCTATGCCTCCTTGGTGCCCGCTGTACCCGCCAGGCCTGGGTGGCAGGACGAACAGGGACTCACCTTGATGGAACCAGTCCTCTGGGCGGCCGGAGGAAGCACAGGAGAAAGGAGATGAGCCTGAGCGGGCAGCACCCCCCACCCTGTGCCCTCCCAGGAAGCCTCAACTTCCCACTGCACACCCTGCGTTAAACAGGTGGCATGTGGAATCTCACCCCAATTACTCTTGGGGGTTGAGTGCCCACAAGTAGGACAGCAAAGGGGTCAGCAAAGGCCCACACAGGTGGGACAGGTAAAGGTGATCCATAGATTCCAGCAGCTGCCGGGTGATGTTGGAACCTGCACCCTGAAGGTGGAGTGGGGTGCTGCCCCCAGGATTTCTCAGGGTCTTCAGGTAGGTGCTCTATCAATGCCAGAAAGTGGCATCATCTTCAGCACTTTCCAAACTTGGGCCCATAGAACCCTCCCTAGAGCTAAGGGACTAGGCCCGCCACGTGGGTTCTCTCCTACCCTCCACTGCGGTCATGGTGCAGAGGGGTGAAGGCTGGGCCTGTTGGATGGGTATCCCAGGGTGGCCCACCCACCTTGGCTCCCTGCTTCCCCACTTCCCATGAATGCCATGGGTATAGAGAGCCTCAGCCTGTGGGTACGGCGGGAGGCGGGGGCGGAGGGAAGAGGTTCTAAAGTGGTACCCCACCCAGTCCCATCCACACACCTTTGGTCTTCTTGCCACCAAAGCAGCCAGCATCATCCCGCCTCCGGTGCTGGGAGCCCACAGTACTGCCCAGGGGCCCAGGTTCGGCCTCCTGGTACCTGTCGGCCCCGGGCACCTCCTTGTGCACGTGGTACGACAGGTTCCGCATGATGCATACGCAGTTCTCCACCGACTGTGGGAGAAGAGAGTTGATGGGGTACGGCCGGGTGGGCATGGGGGATGCTAAGCCTCTGAGAGGGCCGAGGGTGTAGCCATGGAGGCCTGAGGCAGGGGGCCCACACGGGCAAGAACCCTCAGGCAGGGGCCAAGAGAGGAAAAGGGTAGAGCACCTACTTCCTATAGGACCTCATCTGGGCTTTGGGGCAGGCCCGCTGCACAATATGGTCACTACAGGGTGGCCCGTGCTGCCCCAGACGTGCGGGCCTGTTCCCTCTGTGCCGCCCATGTGCTTCAAGCCCCCTGGGCCCCGTTTCTGGTCCATCTCCCTGACCCTTTGAGGGAGGCCAAGTCTGCCCCTGACTGGGACCTGCTGGGACCTGTGTCTCACCCGCCCACCTTGTTGTCTGTGTCCTTCCTGCCCACGGCTGACTGAAGGGCATGCAGGAGCGCGTCCACCAGCCCTTCACATTCCCGAAGTCGCCGTCGGGCCTCTGCGCCATCTGAGCTCACGTTCCTGGGTAGCCAAGAGCAAACTCCGTGACCCCTGGCTCCCACCGCGACTCCCTGGGCCCCCACCTGGCCTTGGGGGCTTGTTTCCATCTACAAAATGGACACTAACACTGCCCTGTTGAGGTGATCGGCAGCTGACACCAGCCTGCAGCAGTGAAGGGGGTGAGGCTGGCCTTCCTTCGGGGAAGGGCGCCCTAACCTGGCATCTCTATGGTGGGGGTGGGGGGAGAAGCTTTCCTGACTCCCAGTTGAACTGGAAAGGGACAGAGGTGGGTCCAGAAGCCTGAATCTGCGCACAGACCATTCTGGCTTCCCCCTGCCCCAATGGCAGCTCTACTATTCCTAAGGTGGGGATCCTATAGGATGGGGCTATATCTCGATAAACAGTCAGGACTGTGGGGACACTGGGCTGCCTGTGGGGTCTCTGCAGGCCCTCCTGTTGTGGGGGAGAGGTCACAGGAGGTGGGATGAGGCCTCCGAGGCAGACTGAAGAGGAGGGTCCTGGCTCCCCATTCCCGGGTGTCATGATGATGGAAGAGTGGGTCGAAGCTGGGCAGGAATAGGGCCATGGGCTACCGCACAACAGGGTGGCAGACTTGGTCCAGAGGCGGCCCTTGGGCGTAAGTATAAGCCCATGAGGCCCCATTCTCAGGACTGGGACAGGAACTGACGGGGCTGATCCCTAAGACTCGGGCAGCTAGTTGTCTTCCAGGTTATCTGGGACGGGAGGACATGGCGCTCCCAGGATAGCTGTTTGCATGCAGGTTCTGGTGCCCGGCTCCTGCCTCCTTGACCAGGAACAGCCCAGGGCGGCTGCTCAGGGGGTGCCTGAGCCCGGCCCCACCCCCACCTCAAGCAGCCTGATGTGTTCTTGAAGACAGTCGTCCACTCGGCATCCCGTGGCTTGGAGTCCTCATTGGGCTCTCGCTCCCAGCCCGAATGGGGCACAATGACCTCGTGGGTCAGTGTCTGTAGGCCATGGTCAATGATGACCATCTTCAGGGGCTCGTAGGATGACAGGTTCCAGAGTGTGCCTGTGGGGCACCATTGACCAGCCAGTGCTGACCATGGGCACTGCCTCCCTGCCTCCCAGGTGACTGCTCAGGACCTGCCGCACCATCCATCATGCCCCAGCTCAGGCCAGAAGGTAGGAAGTGACAAAAGCTGTTACAGGCTCTGGATGCTCCTCCTGGCTGGGGCATATGGCACCTACCACTGGCTCCCACTGAGAAGGGGGTGAGGGCCCAAGGGGCGAGGACAAGAGCAAGGAGCCTGGGGCTGGATACAGCAGGTGCCTTCTCTTCCCCACCCCTTCCCAGCCACACGGGTGGGTAGGCCTACAACTGGGGCCACAATGAAAGGTGGTCATGTGACCCTGCCATTGGGAGTAGGACCGGGTGGGGAGGGGCCCAGTGCCAGCCCCACCAGTGGCCGCAAAATCAGAGGTAAAGATCGGGGACCTTGCATGGCATCTAAGCCTGACGCCTGCCCCCAGCAGTTGGGACTCCTGACTAAATGGGGTGCTTTCCCGGGCCAAGCCTCACTCTCGTCTCTTCCCAGGGGATGCAGGGCCGGCCAGGTGCCACTCACCTGTGACGAGCTCTCGGACCTCATTGTCCCGGGCGGCCCGCAGCAGGCGCACCAGGGCGGGCACGCCGCCACAGTCCCGGATAGCGGCCTTGTTGTCAGTGTCTCGGCCGTAGGAGAGGTTGCGCAGTGCCCCACAGGCCCGGCGCCGCACCTCTGCCCTTGGGTGGTCCAGCAGAGCCACAAGCAGGGGCAGCCCCCGCAGCTGCCTCACACGCCGCTTGACACCCTCGTTCTCAAAGCACAGGTGCTGCAGGTAGGCAGCTGCGTTGGCCTTCACGGGGTCCACGGGGTGCCGCAGCATGGCCAGTACCTCGGGCAGCTCGGGGTCCCGCCAGCGTGGCTCTTTACGGGCGCTGTCGACAGAGGGCGAGCGCCGCACCATCCGGTCCAGGCTGCCCAGGCTGCCCCGCTCTGGCTGGGCCAGGGGTGCTGCTGTGGCCGGGAATGGGGGCCTCTCCTCCACCAGCTCACCACCGTCATCGGCCACGTCTTCATAGGCCCTGTGCAAACGAACAGGGCACGCGAACACGTTGTCAGCGGCTGCGCCCCCCTACCCCTGAGCTGCCCCAACAGACCTCCAGGGAAACGTGAACCCACTGAGGGTGGGCCTGGGCCTGCAGTGTTGGTACTTGGCCCCAAGCACCGCATGGGTGTTGAGAGTCATATCCCAGCCCAGCAAGAACCGACTCAGAACCAATGACAGAACCAACCCCAGCCAATGGTCATCAGGGCTGCATCCCTCTCAGATGATAGGGCTCACTCACTCCCGTCACTAGGCAGTGTCCCCTGATTCTGAGATAAATGCCTTTCTCGGAAATATCTGCCCATGCCTGGGAAGTCCCACCTTCCCACGAGGCCCGTCTCTGCCTGGTGCCAGGATGTGGGGGGAGGTGATCTTCTTTGTATATGGCCATCCTGGTGGGCCCATCTAAGGAGCATACAGATTGCCAGTCCCCCAGGGCACAGATGTCCTTGTGTGTTTTTACCATCAAACCCACTTCCCAGGAGCGGGACTAAGGTTAGGAGGAGCCTGGGACATGCAACATACTCCTGACCCAGGTTGTGGTCATGTTCCCATTCTACAGATAGAGAAGCTGAGGGCAGAGGGACCAGATCCAGAGGTTACGCTGAGAAGGTCTGGGGGGAGGTGGGGCTCTAGGGTTCCAGTTGCATCTATACATGAGGCCTGGGGAGAGGCTGAGGCTTCAAGCTTAGAGAAACACCCTGAGCCTCTTGGGTTCCTGTCTTCAGGGTTACCTGCCTAGAGCAGGGGCACTATGACTAGCTTCTTTCATGCCCAGACTGGCAGGGAGGGCACCCAGTGCAACTTCCACCATCCCAGAGCCTATTCTTGCTGCTGTCCTTGAGAAGCATGGAGGCCAACTCAAACTGACGTGTGCGTGACTAACTCATTTAGCCCGGGCAGCTAGACCACCTGTGGGGTACTCTCGGGTGGGCAAGTGGAAGGCAGACTCCCTGTTGGTGGTGGCAGGGCACAGGGTGCTCACCTAGTGCGAAGGCCCCGCCCACAATCAGGCCGCCTCCTCGTGGCGGTGCCATAGTCAGCCTCCAGCTCCGGGCCACCCCCGTCATCGGCAGCCAGGCTGCGTGTGTCGTCTTCCAAGCCATATGGCTCTGCCTGGAAGCGCTCGGGCTGGGAGCGACCGGCCGGCGGCACAGGCTCTGGGCCCTCGGGGAAGGCTTCACGGCGGCCAGGCAGCGTGAAGCAGCCATCACCAGGGCCGGGACCAAGAGGGCCACCACGTGGGGGCCGCACACCCAGCCCCCGGGACAGGCTGCCATAGCTGGGGATGTCCCGGGGCTCGGGGCTGTCAGGAAAGCCACTCCCGCTGCTGAGGTAGGTTCGAGAGAGCGTGGCCGCCGGGCCACCCCCACGCAGCAGGAAGTGCCGGTCCAGGGTGCCATCACCGAAGTGTCCTAGAGGGGGGCCACCATCCAGGAGGGGGAGGCCGTCTGGGCCCATGGGCACCTGGCGCACGGTTCGTGTAGTCACTGTCTTGACCATCTTGGTGACCTGGTGAGTAAGTAGGTAGCCAATGGGCTGGGCAGCCTGAGAGGCCCAGACACTGCCCACAAGGCCAGAGTGGCCTCAGTCTTCCACCCGAACAAGTGGCCTCTAGGAAGCTGGGACATATGCCCACTCTACACACAGGACAACTGCGGCTCCATAGCCCACTCGCCAAGCACTTGGGCCCAGCCATACCTTGGTCTCCGTGCGCCGCGTAGTGCCATCTTCTGACATGACGATGGACACGTGGGAGGTGGGGGTGCCGGGGTCCTCCTCCACCGTCACGGTCTCCTCCAGCACCTCCGGCGCCTCCGGCATTGTGGCCAGTGAGACCTGGCTGCCTGGGCTCTGCTCCTGGGTGAGGGGTGTGGGTGTCGGTGGGCGGACCCAAGGCTCACCCTGCCCTACAGTGCAGGTAGGTGCTGGCCTGGATGCGAGGAATGACTTCATCCCCGCCCTCAGAACCCACTGACCGGAGGGCCTGTTTCAGCCCCAGCTGGTGAGGACAGCACGTGCCTGCCTCTGAACGCTGAGGGGCTGACCTTGCCCTGTTGCCCCATCCCAAGGGGGGCCCCCAGCATCTGGCCCCCATTCCAGGGCCTCCTGGGGCTGAGCTGGCAGAAAAGGTCCTGTGTCTTAGCAGTGAGGCCTGAGCGCAGCAGGCTCCTGGGGGCCCAAGGCCAGGCAGGACCCACTGGATGTCCTCCAGGTGTCCTGGGCCACCTCCCTGCCCCACCTCACAAATGCTGAATACAGACGCCTTAAGGCGGCAGTTTCAGCAGCGTTCACCAACTCGCTGTGGCCACACCGAGGCTCCCCTGTCCCTAAGGCCAGCCAGACACCCTCGCAGACCAGAAATACCCAGCTCCCAGAATGCCCTGTGCACTCGGAAAGACCAGAATATCCTCACACTCCTTCCGGCCCAGACACTCTTAGGGTGTTGAGTGGGCAAGGCCTAGTCCTACCATCACGAAGACCCTGAGAGCCCAGAGACTGGGTTCAGGCCAAGGGGACCCAGCTTGTCCTTGACAAGAACACCAGTGTCCCCTACCTGTTCACCACCCCAGGTCTCCCCAACCTTGACCCTCTGCTTCCGAACACCTGCTCATTCTCAACCTGCTCCCCCCCACGCCGAACCTCTCCCCGCCATCATCCCTGCAGGGGACGTCCATGGTGGAATTCCAGGCAAGATGGCTCTGGACAGAGGTTCTTCAAAGACCCTGTCCCCTCTGGCCAGTGGGGAAACTGAGGCTCAAAGAGGACAGACCAGCCCATAGCAGACCTGGCTAGTCCCCTGCTGTGCTGTGTGGCACAGGGACCAAGATCTACCCCTGGGTCTCTGACCATATGAATTCCACACACAGCACCAACATCTGAGGATCAGCACCTGGCCAGGATGGGCAGGGGATGAAATCCAAGCCACAGGGGGTGGGTAATGGGGAGCACATTCCTGGACAGCCAGGGCCAGCAGAAGCACAGGCTCTGCTCTGCAGCCCAGGCTCCATGCCTTACAGGGTCCCCTACCTGGGCCCCAGGCCCCTAAGGCCTGCACAGGCATGGAGCTGAGGCCCAGGGAAGACCAGCAGCTCCCATCTGCGTCTTGGAGTTATGCAGGGAAAGGCAGTCAGAGGTGCCTTCAGGGTCTGCTCCCGAGGTCCTCAGGGTATGACATTTTCCCAGGTCGGGGTCCTGTCCTAAAGGAATGCTTGAGCCCCCCAACTGCTTGTAGTATTGAGGTTCTGGGTCCCTGTAACTTCTTCAGGGGTCCAGGTAAGGGCCTAAACTATCATGATAGGACAGGTGCATCCCTCAGGCTCTGGTGACACAGGAAGGAAGAGGCACAGAATGTAGCCCAAGCAGGAGAAAACATGTGATTTTATAAAAGGGAAACTGAGTCCTGACAAAGGGGAAAAGCTCTACCCAGAACTTCACAAACTGCTAATGGGGGGATTTCAGGCATCCTTATAGAAGATAGTTTTGCACAGAAGGCAATTTTGCAAAGCCTTTTAGCCACACCTCACCCCTTGTGGGCCACAGCCTTAACTGTCACTTTTTCAGTCTTGGGATGCAGGGGGAGTGCCTACTGGAGACCTGGCCAGGAAGGAGGAACACTGTCCCCTGGGAAAGAGAAGTAAACTGAGGCCCAGAGTAGGGACATGCGGATGGGTTGCCAGGCTAGGTGGCCTGAGCGCTTCTTGGAGGGCACTTGGGAGCCAGGACAGCTCTGAAACAGGAGAAGGTTTAGGAATGGCCTGTCACTGCTGGGGCTTTGGGTGCCCCATCTGTATTTAGCAAGTACAGGAACAGATGTGTGGCACGGACTGAATTCTCTCTGCTGGGTTCCCGAGGGCCAGGCACGGAGGGGCCTCGGGTCCTGGTGGTTGCAAGTATCAGGGCGGGGCAAGAAGCAAGACTGACATGAGGGACCAGGACTGTTGCCCAGGACACAACACTGCCAGTGGGATATGGCCCCTCAGTAAATTTGCATACATTTGCATACATTATCACTTTCATAGAAGAGCCCCTACTCCCTGGCTGGGATTGGGGGAAGCACATTTCAGATCTCAATACTACACTGTGGTCTAGCTTATTCTTTTCATTCCGACCTGTAGTGAGGTTCTGACACAGTGAAGTCAGGAGGGTGAGGAGATGGGGTGTCCAGGAGAGCCAGGGCCCTCCAACCGGGCCTGACAACCTGCAGCACCACCCATCTACACCCAGTCCAGGCAGCCCTGTAGCGCGATCCTGAGGCACCAAGAGCCCCTGCTGGCAAATGACCTCAGGGAGCTAAAAACAGGCGATGACTTCACCCAGGCGGGCAGGCAGGCAGGAGCCTGAGTCAGCCGGAGATCATGGAAAGGCCTGGCCCCCATTACCTATGCCTGGGCACACGCATGCAGACAGGGACCTAGTCACACATGTGCATGTACCTGATCCCTCTGAAAGGGACACACGTGTGCACGAGAACCAGCCTGGCTCTTAGGCCTGAGTAAATCAGTGTGTGTGTTCTAACAGCACTCAGTGGGCAGTGCCCACCATCTGCAGAGGTGTGCACACATCCCCATCCCCTCCTGTCTTCCACCATGTGCCAGACTCCCTCAACCAGCACCCACTATAGGAGTCTCAGAGCTGGAAGCAGATGGGGGAACTGAGGCCTAGGGTAGGGAGAAGCCTAAGATCTACCCGTGCAGCATCTTGGGGCTGGGGACCTGAGATCATGGGCCAATGACCAGCACACAGTTGGCGCTCAACAGAGGCAGCTGACCAGTGGGCCTGGATCCTTGTCTAGTTTTGAAGCCCTGATCTAGGGGCCCATGTACCTCCCATGTCCACCTACCCAGGCCAGCCCACCCTCAGCAACCCCTGGCCCTGCAGCCCCAGTTCCCCCCCTTACCCCGCTATACCCCAGACATGGGCACCTGCATGGACACACCACCCCAGCCCTCCTCCATGTCCCACATCCTGTCAACTGTGTCTTGGCACTCTTTCTCCAGACCTGGCCTCATCCTTGCAGCTCTCACTGGAACCACTGCCCAGCCTCCCATCACCCACCCCCAGGGCCCAAATCCTCCCTGTGATACACCTAACCATGGTCCACCTGGTCCATGGCCCATGAGCTCTGGCCCAGAGAGGGGCCGTTGCCCAAACCTGGGGTTTCCCATGAGCTCCCTTGAACTTATGGGGAAGGGAGTTGGTCCAGGTCTCCAAGTGGGGGCTGGAGCTCCCCAGAAAGGTAATGCTCACAAGAGGATGCCTAGAGGCACAGAGCTGAGCACAGCATGAGGGCCCTGGGCCCGTTCACATAGAAACAGGAAGGACCCGTGCTGTCAAGGCTGTGGGACAGGCGGAGATAGTGTCAGTCCACCTTTGTGACCAGATGTGGGACAATGCAGAGGGGTCACTACCTGGGCAAAAGTTCACAATAGCCTCTGGGGTGCATTGGGAATGGCTGA